AAATCTATAATATCTATATAAAAAATCAGGATGCCAGGACCAAGGCCCAGTCCCCTCATCCCACCCGCTCTGGTTAGGATTTGGCTGCAGGCAATGCTCCCATTGACATGGGTTTTATCACCAGTGGCTAAGGAGTCTGGAAACTTTTCCCCGAAAGCGCTGGAGGGGCTATGGTGGCTCATGTCTGCAATCCCAGCTACTCAGGAGGCTGAAATCTGAGGATCGAGGTCTGAAGCCAGCTCAGGCAGGAAAGTCCTTGAGACTTTTAAGTCCAATGAACCAGCAAAAAGCTGAAAGTGGGGCTGTGGCTCAAGTGGTAGAGCACAAGCCTTGAGCACAAGAGCTCAGGGATAGCGCCGAGGCCCTGAGTTCAAGGCCCAAGACTGTCACCCCTCCCCCTCAAAAAGAAGAAGATGGTGTAAGATAATCTAGCGAAGCACAGTGCCAGTCGCTCGTACCCATTATCCTAGCTCCTCAGGAGGCTGAGATCTAAGGATCGCAGTTCAAAGCCAGCCTGGGCAAGAAAGTCTGTGAGACTCTTAGCTCCTATTAACCACCCAGAAAAACTGGAAGTGGTGCTGTGGCTCAACGTGGTAGGGAGCTAGCCTTGAATGGCAAAGAGCTCAGGGACAGTACTCAGGCTCTGAGTTCAAGCCCCACCACCCACAGAAGGAAGAAAGAAAGAAAGAAAGTCTGGTGAGAGGCGTTAAATAATAGAGGGTTGGGGGATGGGGAAAGAGGAGAGCAAGGGAAAGCGTCGTTGGGGGTGGGGGACTAAAATATAATAGATGCACGTGTGAAATAACCTTCGTGCAAATTAACACCCACACAAAGGGATGTCAGGGAATTAGACAGGCGTAGTTGGAGGGGGGGGCACCAGCCTTGGAGGGAGGGCTGGCCGGGGGTGATGGGGAGGGAGGGCTCAGGAGGAAGAGAAGCCAAATACGGTGGCTTTTCTTCTTCTTTTTGTTTGGCATGTGTGCAAATAGCAACCTGTTGCAGTTGTTTCTTGGCCGGGCAGGGGGGAGGCAGGGAGAGAAGGGAAGGGTGTGTAGGGGGGGTGAGCGGGGTGCCTTGTATGAATGGAAATGTCACCGTGAACCTCTTCCTCCTTTGTCCCACGAAGATGAGCTCCTAAAATAAATTAAAAAAAAAATTTAAAACGCTTGGAAAAGCAATTCCAGGGGAGCTGTTTTGATGGACAGCCACAACTGCTCCCCGAGGCCCCAAGACAAAAGGAACCGAGGCAAGAAAGAATTCCTGCCATGACATCAAAGAAGGGGGGACAGGTGTTAAAAGGCCCCCCCAGGGGACAGGAGTGACATCGGGAACATTCTGGATAAAGAGGAGGCTCTAGCTGAGCAACCAGCAGCGTGGGGATCACTACCTTCTTCTCTCCCCTCCCCCAGGCTCACCCCAGAACCCGAAAATTCTTTTGTTAAGTGTTGTTTCAAAAGGGGGAAAGAAAGAAAGAAAAAGATGAGGGAAAGAACTCCTGTGCCAAGGCCTCTTTTGGTTTTTTGGGGGGATTGTTTGTTTCGTGCTGGCCTTGGGGTTTGAACTCCAGGCCTGGGTTTTGTTCCTTAGCTTTATTCACACCAGGGCTGGTGCTCTACCACTTGAGCCACAGCTCTACTTGCAGCTTTTTGGTGGTTCATGGGAGAGGAAGGGTCTCACGGACTTTCCTGCCTCCCCTGGCCTCTAACCGCAATCCTCCGATCTCAGCCTCCCAGCCGGAAGGACCTGGAAGCTTCACATAGACTCTTTAATGAGATGGTATGCCTCTGAACTCCAGCCTCATTTTGGGTCCTACAAGTGAGAGCTTTGGGAGGTTTTAAAGGCCTCAGGGTTGCTGGGAAAAGAAAGAAAGAAGCCACTGATGGGTCTATCCAGTGAGTAATTAAGGAAAGTGGGTGCTTTTTTGGCAGCCACCTGCGCGAGGATTTGTACACAAAGCCCGGTTATTTTTTAATCTTCACGGAGACACATGATACGTTTGACAATGAGAATAAAGAAAGCAATTATGAACTCCAGGAAAATCAAAAGCTATACAAAAAGCCAATGAGACGTGGCACACCCCTGGGCAAGAAATAGTAAATACAAAAACCCCAATGCCTTCCACCTTGAGGTGAGGTAATGCTTCTGTCTGTCAGGCCTAGATCTGGAGGGAAAGAAATAAAAATCTTTGCATATGCTTTGGCTCAGCCGGGGTAGGGAATGGAACTCACCTAGACAGGGAAATGCCACACTGGGTTATTGATGCCCTTTAACCTTTAGAGGCAATCCATGCATAACACGCCATCATCCAAATGATGACTTCCAGGACAATATACACATAATATCATCTTTTAAAATATAAAAGTTAGACTATGAAAGATTGAAATTGTCAAGCAGAGAAGCAAAAAAAGAAGGAGGAGGAGGAGAGGAGGTGGAGGAGGAGGAGGAGGAGGGAAAAAGGATTAAGTTTCTCCTCTTTAGAAGAAGGATTTCATTAGATCGTATCTCCACTGTACTGAGCAGGAAGGAAGATGGACTATTTAGAGCTAAAATGGAACCCACAGGCTGGGCGCCAGAGGTTCACGCCTGTAATCCTAGCTGTTCGGGGAGCTAAGACCTGAGGATCATGGTTCAGAGCCAATCTGGGCAGGAACGGTCTTTGAGACTTATTTTCAATGAACCACAAAAGCCAAAGCCAAAGTGGAGCTGTGGTTCAAGTGGTAGAGCGCTGGCCTGGAGTGCAAACGCCGAGGAAGAGCACCCAGGCTCTGGGTTCAAGCCCCAGCACCGACCCACCTCCCCCCCCCCGTTCCCCCCAAAGGAGACTGGAAAAATCTCATCACTTGCTGGTCTGTGATGTCTCTCTTTCACTCACGTGTGCAAACACACTCACGCGGCCGCTGCAGGCCCGCTGCCCATGTGTCCGTGGTCCCACTCCGGCTGGGCCCTCTGTGGGTTTGCTCTTCCTAGCTGGCCTTGACTCCGCTTTTGCTTTTGCCCTCCTTCTCCAGGGTGCTGGGCCTCGTCCATCCTCCCTCCTCTCCCCTCCTCTCCAGCTCCTCCTCCTCCTCACCCCCATCATTGTTATTTCCTTCCAGGAAAAGCTGATATGGCAGAGAGATGCCAGCTGCCCTGCT